GAGGCCCGCGGGGAGAGCGGCCGGCCCCACGCCGGACGCCGGGCTTGTTGTGAGTTTCTTCTCTGACAGAAATGGCGTCATTGTCGTAGACGGGAAACTCCGTCGGGTCTCGACAATGGGGACGGGAAGCTGCCGAGCCGTGTAGGTGGCTGGGTTTGCGGGGATGGCGGGGCCAGAGGGAGCCCCGAGTCGGCGTGTGATGGTTCGGGGGCTGGCGCCTGGTGCGGCTCTTTCTTCGGGGTTCGGGCGTCGCTCGGTTCCTTCCCTCCGCCTCCGCCAGTGCAGAGGGGTGCTTGTGGTGTTGACTGGGTGTCTTTTGTTTCCCCTCCAGGTGCAGGTGAACCCGGTGTTTTAGAGAATATCTCGGTCCCAGAGTCATCATGAAGGTAAGATTGCCTGCAGAATACGAATCTCTGGGGTTATCGAATTCAGGAAGTAGGGGGTTTGGACGAGGTCGTCGTGTGGGGCTTCCGAGTTTTGCAGAGGAAGGTGTGTTTGGTGGCTTGGTGACCGAGCCCTTCCCCAGAGAGACCGGGGTCAGCTGGCGGGCTTTGCTGTGGAGTTGGAGGCAGTTACAGGATATCTCAACTGAAGATGATTCTCCCATATTGAACCCCTCTTTTTGTAGGGAATGAGAGGAATAACGGCATGAATTAAAGTGTTTTAAAAGGTAAAATAAAAAGCAGGTCAGGTAATCTGACCCTGGAAACTGAACTGTATTGTGGTTCTATCAGTTACACTGATGAAAGAAAATCTTATCTGTTGTGTGAACAGTACTGTAAAATTTTAGCAGAAAACTCTTTGATTCGTCACAAACATAATTTAATTGAAAGATTTAAAGAGATAATTTTGGTGATCTTTACACAATTCAGAGATACCAATTGTTTCTTGTATTTCCAGGCACTTGGGGTTATGTGGTTTATTTTTCTTTATTGATCTGGTTGGTCTGCAAATAAGTCAGAGGCTCTGTTGCATTATGATGTGTGGAAAACTGATGGCCAGGTTCCTCTTAGACGTAAACATGTTAACTGAATGGAGAATAGGGTCAAAAAATTTGCTTAATTGTTGGAAGAAATGATAACCATAAAAATACAGTTTATTTTGTCAGTTGAGAGAATATGTATATGAATGCTGTCTTTTTTGTTTTAAACACATGCTGGAATGAAACCTTAGATTTTTGAAAAGTCTAGATTCAACTGGTGGAACTTAGACACTAGCTTGTATTTTTTCATCCATTACAAATTCAAAAGTGCTTGAAAAGGGTAGAGTGTTCACAAGTGTAGAAATGCAACAGATAGCATGTTAGAATATCAATGTTATCTGCTTTTGACAGTTTCTTTGAACTATTTTTAAAAAATTTCACTTGTCCTCAGAATCAAGATGACTTGGACAGTAGTACATCCAAATTAAAATTTGTAATACCTGTGGTTGCAGAAGGTAAAAGCTGTGGCTACTTAAATTTTGGTCTACTATACAGAGTAATTAAGTGTAGTCTAATTTTTTTTAAGGTTTTCTCTTTGAGTTTGAGATGCTGTAAACTACCTGAAACAGTTTATTCCTATCTCATTTTCATGTAAAAGAAAACAGCATCGACATGTTTCAGGAATTGAATCCCTTTTGTTAGTCACAAATCCTAGCTATAACTCTCGTGACCTGTGTAAAACAGTGAAAAGTGCATTTATTAGGTAACTCATATATGTACTTTGATGTTGGGTGAGAATTTCTTAAGAAAAGTTTTGGTTTGAATAATAATAAGTTCATAAGCTGAATAAATAAAAGGTTTAGTTTGGAGTAAATGTAATCTGTCACAGTTCCCAGTGTTGTAGTGCCTGTCACTTCTTAGGTGCTCTATAAACGTTTGGTTAAAAGAAATGTAGTTAAGTTGAAAGTCCTTGAGATTAAAATGTTTTTTTTTCTTCCTTTCGTTTCCTTTTTTTTAAAACTAGTCTGTTTAAAAAAATGAAAGTATGTTGGAAACTTTAGCCTTAAAAGTTTCTTGGTAATACTAGCCAAATGCAAATTTTTTGGTATCATTTTAGAGATACTAATTTTAAGTGCTCAGCATTACATTCTGCCTTTTTTTTTGAAAGGACTTTTATTGTTAAAAGGAAAAAGTTACTAAAATGAATTTCTAACTTTATACAAGAACTTCCTGTTATAAGTATAGCAAATATTCTCTTAGAGAATCTGCTAGTAATCATTGGTATTAAAAACTTAGCTTATTTCTTACAACTTTATTTCTTATGTGATAAAAGATGAGTAGCTTCTTGTAATTTGTATTTTGCTTTAGCAAAAATTGCGATTCAGAATCTATTAAATGTTGAGTATATTAGGCCTAAATTTTCTTACTTTTTCTGTGTGTTCCCAATTTCTTTTTTTTTTTCTTTTTGATAGTCTCACTATTTCACCCTGGCTGGCACGATCTGTAATTCCCACCTCCCGGGCTCAAACAATCCTCTCACCTTAGCCTCCTGAGTAGCTGGAACTACAGGCACACCTGGCTAATTTTTGTAGTTTTTGTAGAGATGAGATTTTGCCATGTTGCCCAGGCTGTTCTCGAACTTTTGGGCTCAAGTGATTCTCCC